CGTCCTGTATTGCCACTATCGGTCAATAGGTACTAAAATTTCACCCTGTTATAAAACCACTGAAATTTGTACTTCGAAATCATTTGCATTGGTAAAGGTTTGCAACTTTCATTCCTAGTGGTGTAGCGGCCGCGTCAATTTGGAAATGAAAGATGGTATTCCTTTATTCTTCGTGTACCGGGGACCCGGAACACAACAAGATTATCGCACGTCCGCAAAAATCTAATTTGTACGAGTACCCAGGTTGCGCCGCGCCGTTTCAGAACGTGGACGTTTTGACTCAAAGAGATGGGGATGAGCCTGTGGGATGAGCTGTACGTTTCGCATGGACAAAAGAAGAGAAGTCATTAACTAATTACCTACTCTACCGGGCGCCGATTTCATTCGGTTATGTCGATATTGCGGCGCCCCCATTTCATTCGGTTATGCCGATAACGAACTTTTGTGATTTTGCAATTTAGTTGAGTCGGAAAGATGTCCCGGGTCCTTTGTTCCCACCTGTCACTCTTTTCGTGTGACACCGAGTAATTCAAAGATTCCTTAAACCCTGACGCCTCAATTATTATAAAGTTGGAATTGAATTGAAAGCGCTGCAAAGCCTTGCATGAGCTTGCAAGGAGTATTTTTTTTCTCTCGGCTTCTCCCCCTCCGCCGACCTGCAACTTGTGAACCGTCACGGATCGCCGCTTTCTGCCTTATGCTAGGTAAATAATATTCAGAAAACTTTATTCTTACTTAAATTATCATGTCGTAATACTACATAGCAAAAGTGAACGAGGCAAGTAATCTCGATCGTTAGTGGGTGTATTTGCTTGCCAGGGCAGGACTCGCGCGATATCTTTGTTTTTCAAACATGTTTTATTGAAAGACTTTTCTCCGTACCAGTTTGCTCAGTTTGCGTTCTTATATCCATATAACTCTACAACTGAGGAATCATTTTGATTTTCATCGGAAAGAAAAATGAGACGCAAAATTTCTTTGCTGCTACATAAAATATTTGCATTTAATTTCGCTGATTTGCCAACTTAATTAGCAGTTTTTTTTAACTGTGTCGCGAAGGTGGTACTTAAAACATTTGCTTCCGGGTTGTATTGTATGCGGTGCAAGACGGCCTCGGTCCGGATCAGCTTTAAATGCGTGCCGCTGACCGGCGGCCGAGCGGCCTCACAGCCGGGCTGCGTCACGCAGGCCCCCGCACAAACCGTGACGACACCGCGCCAAACTCTGCTACCATATTGGCGACCTTTCTCGAGTTCTTGCAATAAATAAACGTTACCTTCCCTCCTGCCCTGTTCAGTCCCCTTCACTTGGTATGGAACTTTAAACATTTTCATATGACTGCAAGATAAATATTCATTGTTTAAATGAGAAACATAATAAAAGAATAGAAGTTTCCAATGAATTCCATTTTCTGAGTCATGTTTGAAAATATGTCGAACATACCGCACTATGACAAGACATTTTAGGATAAAAATCACATCACTTATCGGCAAATGTTTTTATCAGCATTCTTTAGTTATTCGTATACGAGTACTTTCTCCTACACTAGTATACCTAAAAACTTAATTTCATTACTCAATCAAAATGCTAAAGTTATTTCAGCCATATTGTTTGGACGTCAAAAAAGAAGCAAGTACCTATCGCTATAAAAGAAATATACAGATACTAGAATGCAGCTTCGAGGGAAGCTTTCGATACTTATTTATTGAATTAGTACAGCGAACAATAGGAGTATTTTCTTAGTTACTCCTGGCATAAGGTATTTTCTCTGGTATTCATTTTTAAACATGTTTTTGGAATCTATTCAGAGTTGGTTTACTTACTCTGTCTATTTGCATTTACAAGGTCCTACTTATGCAACATTAATAAAAAAGATAAAAAAATCATTTTTAAGAGTTGCAACATTGGCATTAATTATTTATTTCGGGAATGTTTGGCCACTTTGGCTTTGATATTTGTGAACTATTGTTTAAACTTACTGATTACGATTTGTATGTATATGTGGTACCTACCGAAGGTTTGGAATTTTTACCTTTTTTGAATAACATACTTCTTAACGGTTCATCCAGTCGTTGAACGACTCGATGTTCCACACGAAGGGAGAGAGATTAGTTACTTTATTTATTAGCTTCATCTGAGCTTGCGAAATTTTTTACCTTACTTACCTACCTACTGAAAACATTGAAACAAAATCTTAACGCGTTGATGTCTTTTGTATGAAAAAGAAGTAATCTGTTTATATTATACTATATTTCCGCATCACTTTCTATAAGCTTGAGGTCTGGTTAGTAATTTACAAAATAGCTAGGTAGGTGTGCAGTATCGATAGCTATTTGCGAACCCCTTGCAGCGATAGGTAAGTGGATTACCTATAGGTATTAGCAACCCCCGCCTGCACGTACGTCAGGGCTCCGACGCCCACTATATCGACCACGCAGTCGATAAGGTCAACTATTGCCGATGGCAAAATTAGCTCAAAATATTTGCACCGGAAACTGAAAATCTGCACTGAAATAGGTTTAGGTATTCAAAAAATACTGGACCTCCCATAAAATTGTAATAGTAGATGTTATTCTACACGAGGTCCCAATAAATTCTTTTACCCTCGTCAGAAAAAATCACGCTTCAATTCGTAAGTCATCCTATATTCAGATTCGTATAACTTTGGTATATTTTGTGAATTAAAACCTACCTACTAGCTTAATGTCACATAAAGAAACAAGTTTCCTCGCTTCTAAAACCTGTCCAACCACAAAATTGATGACCAACTAAAGTAAGTAATAATAAAGTATACTGGTAATATTTTATTTACAATTTAGCTTGTTGCTTCCTACTTCGGTTTTCTAGTTCGGGGTTTTTCACTTTCTGATTTCATTGATAGGTACTGTAGCCCAAACGAAAAATCTTTTGACAAAATGCCGACCCATTTACAGGCTGCGTTATGGGTATGTCGTTTGAGTACAACGAACTTTTACTACGTATATTTGAAAGAATTACGTTTTAGCTATTTCCTCTATATTATTTGCAAACATGTGTATAATGAAACGCATTTGAAGTATATACTTAACCTTTACTTATTCTTTGCACAACCAGGAACGACTAAAATTGACACATTCAATAAAAAATTATATCCAATCTTGGAGTGAAAGGCAAACTGTATATCTATTTCACAACATTCTTACAACAACTTCAGAATTAAGTAACGATTTGTCTGTCTATGCCTGAATAGGTATTGTGTTCCGTTTTTCGTTACTTACTTCTCAAGAAACATATGCATGGTAGAGTGAGCCCGGTAATGTTAACAATATGAGGTTTTACTTCTACTTAGTACGAATACACAACTTTCGCTCACCGTCACTCCTTAATCCTGAGCAAATAACACCCTCCACCCCAGTGCACTTGCTACTTACCTTACAACCACATTGAAAATAATAAATTACTTACTATTTACTAAATGTACCTGCTTGCTAATCATTAGTTTTTTTAGAGTGTGTCCAATCATTTGACTATTTCTATAAGAAAGTAACAAAAAGCAAAAAGGCCAAAGTGCTCATGAAACTGCAAAACTATCGAAACATGAAAAATAAAGTTGTACGTCCTATATAGTACATAAACCAGCTGATCGGCGAATTTGTAAGGGAGGTTCTAATTTTTCTTTTCATATAGGTACCTATTTCGATTCATGTTCCATAGGATAACTTGTTCAGTTTCATGAGTGAGTACTTTCTCCTTTTTGTTACTCCCATATAACACGCAAGTGGTACTAACGAAAACTGTGTGTTATATTTTTAAGTAGGTACCTGCCTATTTGTGACACGATAGTTATTTCGATGCAAAGGCCTTTCAGTAAGAGGTACAAGCAGCAGCGGCCGCGTTCTATCGAATTGACCTTGATCGACTTTATTTGACCTTTTTTTGTATAAAATGTGCGAGCGAGCCAACAATAAAAAGCTATTTTCTCACTTTGCTTTGGACTCAATAGTAAAGTTTAGTAATAAAATATAAATTTATGCACGCAAATCCCTGAAGATATATATGGGATAGTAAGAACACAAATTAGGGAAATGGCGCGCGGGGTGCCTGTAAGAACATGCATAAGAAATCAACTGAACTAATCATAAGTATGCAGACCTTTTTAAAACCCGTTTCTACCCTAACGTTTCGTTGCATACTTATGTCGTGTTGTTATGAAACCGCTGGGCGGAAGTGTGTTACTTTAATTCAGGGGGTGCTCACTCCACAGTTGTACTTATGTTGGCAATTGTGCTGCGGAGTATGACGTCCACATATTTGCATTGTGCGTGGCAAAAGGTAGATAGAGTAGACTGCGTCGACGGCGCAATAGATCCCGTGAGACTTTTCTGGGTCAAGCTCCGACAGATCGGCGCATGCGCAGCTAGCGGGACTTCCTATTTTACTATTCGCAGCCAATCACCCGCGCTCTCGCCTCTCGCCGGACTCAAGGTAGACGTTTTCGATACTTTTGTGGCGACTCTACTCTACTTACTTGTTTGAGTTTGGAAGATTTACGAATAGGTCTTTTATACTAGGTATAACACACATATTCTGCATTTTTCCTTTCTGAACTTTTACTTGTCCGTACAGAGAAAACTTTCTATTTCTGTAAAGTAACGTACTACGGTTACCATTGCATTTCGCGTTGCGGATCTATTCTGGCGGTGCCAACCGGGCGGCTGCTGGCGGCTTGACACGGTGTCCTTTTAACACATAAACAGATGCAGGACCGGTTCCGTGGTGACGTCACTCCGCCAGCTAGCTGCCCGCTGCCCGCAGGCCACAGAGGCAGCGGCCAGCGATCGTCTGCAATCCGCCTTACATACCACCACGTAACGGAGAAACCTTCCTGTTTTCTTCAGGATCAAACCAAAGTTGTTTGAATTCGTAGATTAAATAATGAGAAAATTAAGACTAGATGTTGCTTAATCGTCGCTTCGAGATGAGCATCAAGAAAGGTCGAGAAATTCATCAAGGTCTGCTAGGCGCCCTTAGCTCAGTTGGTAGAGCGATGGAACGGTGATCCACAGTCCCGGGTTCAAGTCCCGGCGGTCGCTAGTGAGATTTTCAATTTCCTCATTATTTAATTTATGAGAATAATATAGCGCTGTGAGTGCATTAGAAATTCCAATACATTGAATTCGTAAGATTTTAAATTCGTACTCAGCGGTTCTTCAGTTCTTATCTTTCAGTTTTCATCTTTGAAAGCACTCCTAATTCTCTTTCTTCAGCTACATATTGATGATAGAATTATCACCGTCGATTGCAATATTCGGATCTTGTTAGTCTGTATCAGACTGACCACCGGATCTCTGAAGACAAAGACTCTTAACTTTTGCCAAATGAACACAAAATTCCTAATGAGCTTATGTTTCATTCTTTGGCTGCCCTTCTTTCCGCCATGTTCGGGGCCCGAAGTTCTAGTGTAGGCAGTTGCCAGTTTGCAATGTAGTCGCGACAATATCATATCATACGCCGCCTGAGCGAGCGCTTGACTCCGATTTTAAGTGATTAGCCGCCTAGCTACAAGGCCAGCCAGAGCGACGTATAGATGCCAGCGTGTGCCACCTACCTACTGCTCCTACATACCAGCATACCTAGCATACGACCCGCAACATACATTTTATCTACATGATATATAATATCTACACTTTTATGTCAAAATTCTTTACTTATTTTGATTTTCATATGATTTGTCTCATCTTTGTCTACTCGCGCGCGAGATAAGTCTCTACAGTGCGCATGCTAGCCGTATATTTTGCTACGCTGACAAGTAGGTACTCATTGTTGTATTTACTCCTTTATCCAGTGTAACGTAAAAGATGCTTACTAAAATGCGTCTACGATGAGACCACGCCCTCATTAAACCATTGCTTGTTATCGACCAACTAACAACGAAGCTACAGGAATAAATTCATAAAATCTTACCTCATTAGAAATCTCAAAGATCTCCGAGGTAAAGTCTTGCCTGTGCTACTTTTAACCACAAGAAAAGGGTTAACCAGAGCAGTAGGTACTACTTTAAGTGTAGTCGTGATTAAATTAAATTTGATGAAAACGGGTATATAAATAATTATTACATGACGATTTTGAATTAAGTAGATACTTATTTGACGAGTGACTATTGTACTTCTTTTACACCAACAAATAGAATTTCGTATATCGGAGGTCAACCTTATCGAATGGAATAGAACCGTTAAAATCTGACTAATCTCCACAGCAGCACCGGTACATTGTAGGTTCGAGTGTCTGTATCAAATGTATTATAATTGGTGTCATTTGAAGTCGTTTCTCCACTGTTTAAACATCCGCGTTCAATCAAAATATTATGGATACCGTTGTTTTTATGGGAATAATAGCTGTTCAGTTAAGTTTTCATAAAAAGACGAAGCATATTATTCTTGTTCAGAAAAGATACTGACCTCTACGTTAAAATCGGAAGTGTCATACTAAGCAGGAACAAAATACCGGCCAGCCTTCGAACGCCTCGGTTGGTAAATGTCGTTAATAATAGTACCATGTAACTGTAACGTGGTTACGTGTACTGGCAAATGTGGGTAACAGAACATGTGTCAATATGTTAAATACAAACGAAGGGGTCACTCGTTCGTCGGTGCTTTGAATAGGAATGACTGTGTATTCTGTACGCGAGGTCATCATTATGACCACTTTCTTCTAGATCGGGGTCGATTGACGCGCAAAGCGGTCAAAGTGGGCAAATCGCAAGCATGTTTCCTCATAGTACATCTCAGATCGTAGGTGGTGCTGGTGACAAAAGCCACCAGCCTGCAGTTGCGAAAGTTTGCAGTTAAGATTTTATTTTTAGAGATTCCCACATGATGCTGGTGGAGTTAGCTCATCTTACTTTATCTAGCTACTCTCGTTTTTAGGGTTTCGTAGTCTACTAGAAACCATTATAGTTTCGTCATGTCTGTCTGTCTGTCTGTCTGTCTGTATGCCGCGCCCTCATATCTTCGTCAGTTTTAGAGCTATCGATATGAAATTTGGTGAGAAGATAGATCGCGTTGACCCAAATACCGGGAGTAACAGAAAGGGTATAACAAGCCGAAAGGAGGTCAAGGTACTCATGAAACTGAACAACTTTCCCCATGGAACATGAGACGAAATATGAAAAAAAATTTGCACCTCTCAGAGTAAATCAATTAGCTGATCTGCGATTTTGTATGGGAGGTCTTAATATTTTTTTCATATATCGACCCATGTTTCAAGGGGAAAGTTGTTCAGTTTCATGAGTACCTTGACCTCATTTCGGCTTGTTATACCCTTTCTGTTACTCCCGGTATAGAAATGTTAAGAAAAAAATATTTTAAATGTTTTTTGGACCCATACAAGTGAAAGGGGGGCAAAAAATTTTTTTTCTTCTGTTATATTGAGTAGGGTATCGTTGAATAGGTCTTTTAAAACTAAGGTGAGGTTTCTTTGAAACAAAATCACTAAAACGTTTCTGTCACGAGATATTTGCTTTTAAAAAGGGCGTTTTTGACCCATAATTTGTTCCAGCTGTAACTTCTAAAGTATAAACGCTAAAAATTTGAAATAAATATGGAATATAGCTTACAATCTGAAGTTACAATGAAAACTATAACGGATATCGTAGTCTTAAAGGTTTCAGAAAAAATTGAGTTTTACTATTTGCGGTTGGTCATCATACTGCTGCTAACAAACCAGCAACAAAATTAAGTTTGTAATGCTGAAAAACCTGATATTTAAACGTTGACTACGAAACCCTATTTGTGGGCGTGTCTGACACGCTCTTGGCCGGTTTTTTTGTATATTGGTTAGCCTCCTCTCAAGTTTTACCAGAATTTTATAAAGATAATATTCATTCGTTGAACTAAAGTATGCACTAACAACATTGCGAGTTGCGCCGGCGGCGGCGGCGAGTGAAAGTGATCATTCGATCGAGGATAGCAAGAGTACGTAGAGTAAATAGATACTAAGTAGTTACCGACCTGGAAAACCTACTTATCGACTTGTTGAGAAAAATACTAAATTGCTATTCAATAATGTATTACAAGCTTATTACAACGTACAAGAAAAAACTACACGACAAAAGGTCAAAATGAAGATTTTTTGGACTGATAGCTACACGACGCCGAACTAGATAGCGCTGCTAACTTTTTAAGATTGAGGGATCATCTGTCAAATTCACTACCATGACATGACAATTGACTTCTATACTTACATTGTGCATATTCGACCCTGTTAATGTTTTTCATCTTCTTCATCGAGTTGATGAGCAACAAATTAAATTTTATGGCAACAGTATTCGGCCACACTGATCAGTTTAGAGTGAGCCTCCAGCAGGAATTTCATGTTATAGGAGAGTTGTTTTTCTATATTTCCAACTTTCGGATCGTCCGTGGACTTGTCGTGGACTTAGTGACCCACACGATAGTCGACTTATGTTCCATGGGAAGCCATTCAGTTTCAATACTGCCTTTGACCTCGCCTTTACGAGTACACCTCGTTTTTAGGGGTTTTTGTTTTGATTGACTTCGACGTGCCAGAGCAATAGTAGTAGATTTTGCAACTGTCTTATAATGGGAGGCATTAGATTGTGAGTGTCAGTTTATCGGAACTAATCCTGAGCAACATTTAAAACTGAACAACTTTTAAGATTGATCAACTTCTCGAACTAACTATAAAATTCTTGGTCCACAGATACCTACCGTCAAATGTAGGTACCTATGAGAAATCATAGTGGTTCAATAGTCATAACGTTTTGGTACGAGAGGTTGTGGTCTTACTACTGCCACCCGTTGTAACTTTTAATGCGCATTCTATAGCTTGCTTATATGCTTCAAGGATATACCTATGTGTAGAAAAAATAAATAAATGTCACACTGAGCCACGGCAGGGCTATGATCACACGCGGGCCCTATTGTTGGAGACACGAACACAGCAAGGCTTGTCGTGACTTCCCATGGGCCTCCGCGAGCCTCGAGGACCTTGGCGGAGGATCAGCACTACACCAATCATAAGCTCGCTGAGTATAGTCCATTCAAGATCATAGTTTCATGACCAGCCTAAGCGGGAGGCCAAGTTACGCTGTTCACAATACTTAGTAGATACTACACGACCAGTGAAACTTGGCCTCCCGCTTAGGCTGGTCATGTCATTTCATGACACTATGATTCCGAATGGACTATACAACCTATACAATGTATTCTTATTCATATTAAGGGATGTGTAAAATATAGAGTTCACATAATTATACTGACGAAAAAAACAAAATTAAATCGGTACGAACTACACCGAGACTAAATTCTTTCTTGCTTTAGCTGTCCTATTTGTAATTTGATGTTTGCTGCAGAGTAATATACCTACTTTCCAACTTCTTGAACTGGTTGAATTCCCTATTTACCTATAATCCGCATCTTAATACTAGAAACACATAATTTTTTATTCGTCATAGAGCTACCTACTCTGATCAGGATACTATTTAATAGGTAGGTAGGTGGTTCATTTAAAATACAGCAGCGTTGATCGCATAGGTACAAAATTGACTTGGTCAACTGCCAAAGACACCTACTATTATTGTTATGTACGGGAGATACATTTTTTTTCATATCTCGACCTAATATTCCTTAGGGAAAGTTGTTTAGTTTCACCGGCTGGTTCGCCTCTCCTGAGAAACACCCTTCTTCGAGCACCTTGTTTGTAAATGAAAGGATCTTAACGGAGTGTAAAGGACGATATCTTAAAATAAGTTTGGATCAATAGATGGCTCTGTCAGTATTCTAAACTCGCTATTGTACTGAAAGGCAAACTGATTCACAAGACTTTTAACTTTCTATCTCCATGCTCTTTACTAAGTATTCTAGCATAATGAATGAGTAATGACCTATTTTGTTTGGTAGAGCATCAAAACAGATATTTCGCAATGGCATTTAAGTTTAAGCTATAAAATTAGTGTTAATTAGGTTAGTCGTTATAGCTATCGCTTATAAATGTAATTAAGCATATCGTTTTGGTTATAAATTAATAAGTGGTATAATTTTCGCTTAATAGGAAACAGTTTGCATTGTTTCCC